AGTGTCCAGCACTGGCACCCAGCACCGTGGAAGGAAGGGGGCCCCTTGTCTATACACAAATCGGTATAAAATCCTAGCGCGTACTAGTGATACAACACAAAAACCGGGAGTAGGGCTGCGGCAGGGCCCTGGCAAGTCACTGCAGCCCTGGCGAAGTGACCCTGGCAGCGGCCACGCGTCTGCGTTCTCCACAGGCAGTCAGTGTCCTTCAAAGGCCCCGGCTATGGCTGAGGGGGTGTCTCAGTGGAAGCCTTCCTCCTCTCAGGCCAACGTCTGCAGCAGCAAAGGGCTGGTGGTGTGAGCTATGTAAACGTAGGAAATGCCATCGGATCAGTTCTGCAGGATGGGGTCCAGGTTAATTAGGAGAGCGTGATCCCGTTCCAGGCTGGCTTGAGGGCTTTTGGGATGCTATTGCTGGAAGACTGTGGCCGTATTAAGGGTTTAGTGGCTGCTCTTGCCTGCAAAGAGCATGGCAGATGCTTTTGTATTGATAGCCACTGAAGCTGGGGCTGCTGGAACTTGAGAGGAGCAAACTTTTGTCATGTTGTGTCAGATGCTGAGCCTGGAAGGAAGCCAGGAATGGCAGAGGAAACCCTCTGTGTGGCTGCTGGAGGTCAGGGTGATGAAAGGGGAGCATGGAGGACACAGGCACCCCCCTCATCTGAAGGAGTTGGAGGAAGGCGTACAGCTGAAGAAGTCCTGGCTGATCTGGCGTGGGTAGCCCTCCAGCACTTTCACCTGGACTGGATCGAACTTCCAGTAATCTCGGCCTCTCAGGAAATAGGCAAAACCTGCAGGTGAGAGAGCAAGGGTTAGGAGAGACAGAGCTGGCACAGCTCAGAGCTCTTTCCTGGCATTTTGTCTTCTTGCCACTCTGCAGCATGTGCAGTACCAAAAGAGAGCCTGGAAGAGGCAGGAGATGCTGCTAGATTCATTTCACTTGAACCCAGGTTTGCAGCTTACACAGCTTCAGTTTTGATGGGGGAATAAGCAGGATTTTATTCTATATTCCTGGTGGTTTTAAATATGCTGTACCGTGAGAGGGCAGAGGACATCTAGAACCTGAACAAGGCCTGTGAGAGGGAGCTTGTGAAGACCGGCTGCAGAGCATCTGTTACTGCAGGGAAGCTGCTCTGGGATTTAGGCTCTGGAAGCAGTGGGGAGCTGTTCCACCGCATCCTTTGGGAGGAGAGAGGCAGTCACCACACCTGTCATCCCAAGCACCCTGGCTGTCCTCAGTGTTTCTGTGGCACTGCCATGCTGTCTCCAGCATGGGGCACACCTGGGAGGACTAGGCAGCGCGGAAAGCAGCCTGTTCATCAGGACAGCTGCCTAGGCTGAAGTGTGGGCAGCATTTCTGCTGTTTTCTCATCACTTTCTTTGTCATGAGCAGTAACAGCTGGGTAGGAAGAACTCTGTGACCATTTCTTGGTCAGAAGTTTGAATTCTCCTATCAAACACTTAACTGTTCATTATTGCAATTAATAATGACAAAGCTTCTCACTTTTATGGGAGAAGCCTCAGTTCCCTACCCACTGGAGAGAGCCACCTCTCTCTCTATACACTAATACATGCGATAGCGTGTGCTATGGCTGGGAAGCATCTGCTACTGCCAAATGTCTAAATCTGCCCAGTTCTTCCAGCTGGGCAGTGGCGTCAGCCTGCGCGCCCACCCCAGAGCAGGCCATGTCCCTGCTGCACTGACCAAACTCGTCCTGAAAAGCCGCGTCGATCTCCTGAGGGACACCGCGCCAGTCGGCCATGGTCCGGGGGTAGATGTTGTCCACCTGACGGGTGTGAGGGTGGAAGCGCCAGTAGTTGCCTCCACTGAAGATGTAGATCTTGTTCTTCTCAGCCCCCCACACCAGAGCTGCCTGCACAGGGGATGCAGGGAGGCCCAGCTCCACAATCGGGGCAGGACCAGACACCCTTCTCTCGCCATCGTAAATCCAGTACTGAGAATCTGGTGAGGAGATAGGAAAGGGAGACAAGGGTTCAGAAGCTCTTTGGCGTCTGATAATTTGGCAGTCAACTGCACAACTTGGAGCTGGTGCCTTTGGCAGAGCTCCCAGGGAAAGCTCTGTATGAGAGGCAAAAACCCCACCGGGCTCATGGACAGCATCACTGACAGGTGCCCAAAGTGCCCGCAGTGCAAAGGATTTGACTTCCCACCTCAGTCCAACCTGGAAGGTGTCAGTGGTGGGACAAGAAGGACTGTTTTAGCAGCTGTCTTTTCTCTCTTCGTGGAAGTTATGATAAAAACCTTGGCTGGAGGGACCAGCCTCTACCCTGCAAACTCAGCGCTTGGAGGAGAACATACGTGGGCATGCACAGGCACAAAGGGGGCATGGGCTGTAAAGCAGTGAGGTGTAGAAACCAGGAAGAAGTTGCCAGGCTGAAATGGAGACTGGAAGCATATTTCCAGATTAGATTAAAATGGGAATATCTGCAATTAGCGTATGGCATGTAATACTCTCCCCTTATCTCATTTTAACTCATAGTAGGAGCCTGCCAATTTTAGCACTGTAAGTCCTTGTGTGCAGGTCAGGTGCTAAGTAATCTGTTTATGCAGGAGCGCTGCCTGCAGAGCCGCGTGGTGTGCTTGCTGGTACTCGGTTTCACGGTGTGCAGACGGGGTGTGCACACCCAGGGCAGCTGGGTACCGCTGTCATTCTGCATCCCCACTATTAAAGTTATGCTTGGAAAGAGCATTGAGGAAAACAGTGGACCTAAAGCAGGGGTTGTTGCTGGTCTTGAACTCTAGAGATGGCCAGGAGGAGGTCTGGCCTCCTGCAGGCAACGGGTTTTTAATCCCTGTGATGGCAGGAGGTTGCCTGTCTCTGCACACAGGCTCCCTGCAGGCTCAATCAGTCTGGGGGTACTACAGAAGCTCCGCATCCAGGTCTCTGAGGAGCAGAGAAGATGCTGTCCATCCCCTGAGCAGGGCCTCAGGGGCACAGGCGCAGGAGTTTCACAACCTGTGAAAGGGTCTGGGGCTCTCTTCTGGCACAGTGCTTCCAAGGAAGCTGAGGACATGGAGCAAGTGTTTCCCTCCTCCTCCTCTGCCAGTAGCATTGCCAGGGCACAGGCTCAAAACAAAAGTTTGTGTTCCAGAAAAGGAGAATGGGATATCATGGCTGTGTCTAAAATAAAAGTGACCCCTCCTTCTCTCTTCCCCCCTCAATATCTGCTAAAAAGTTTAAACTAAACAGAGAAGGAAACAAATAACAAGGATCACTGGATTGCTGAGGATGCCCAGAAGGTTTTTTCTCCCAGGAGCTTGTTGGGTCCTGAATACCCTTTAGTAAAGAAGACGCATTTCCGAGCCACCTGATCCCAGTCCAGCTCTTACCTTGGAAAAACCAGATATTGCCCAGAGGGTCCTCGAAGGTGGCATCAACCACCTGATCCCAGTCCAGCTCTTACCTTGGAAAAACCAGATATTGCCCAGAGGGTCCTCGAGCTGGGTAGCCGTCCTGCAGCTTTCCAGCTCGGAGCCGCCACACATAGCGGGACTTGAAGAAGAACAGCTCCCCTCGGATGGTGGATGCGGCGTCGAAAGCTGTGTCGCAGGCGTCGGGCTGCACAGACTGCCAAAGCATGGCCGGTCAGGTGCTTGGACTCAAGGGAGCCTCCCTTGCTCAGGCTGGGTTCAATGGATGGGAAGTCCTTGGGTCCAGGCAACTGTCCTGCTTTCAGCCAGTTTTGGTTGGGCACATGCTGCCCAAAGATCCCCTCCCCGCACATCCCAGGCTGGCTGGCAGTGCCAGCCGTGGGGTCCGGACCTGCGCTCAGCAGCACGGGTAGAAGACACAGACACCAAACCATGGGTAAAGCTGCTGCTGGCCTCACAGTGAGGACAGTCCCCGCAGCTGGGAACAAGCTGTGGTGTTAGAGGAGGACACAGGCAAGCTGTTCACTCACCTCCACGTTGGTGATCTCATTTGTTTCAAGGTCCGGCTGGGGCAGCTCTGCTGGCTGAGTTGGGGTTGGGTCAGGATCCAGTTTGGGTTTCCCATAGAGGTACTGGATACCTTGCTTGTCATCCTCACTCAGACTTAGCGGGTAGCGGAAGATGTAGAAAGGAGACATCAGCGACTTGGAGACAGCCGTGTGCTGCAGGCCCAGGACATGGCCAAACTCATGAGCAGCCACTTGCAGGAGGTCAGTGCCTGCAAAGGGAAAAGATTGGAGATGCTTTTGCCTGCTTGTGTGGGGGACGCCTGCCTCCCGGGCTCACTTCTACCAGTTACCAGCGACTGGCAATGCACTGAGGTATGTTGTAAGAGCCCAACGCGAGGAAAGAGAAATCTACCTCGACTGCAGCGCTCGCAGGCTGTTGTTCCCCGGGTTTTCCTGCAGCACTGCGAGTGAATTCATACACTCAGGTACTAGCCTGGGCACGATGGTGATTTGTAATTCTGTCACCAGGGGCTTCTGTACCCCATCCAGCTATCGGGAAGAAAACAAGTTTTCTGTGCGCTTTTGGATAGAAGAAGTTTGCATGGAGAAAGAAGTGTGGCCCATAGAAGTAGGTGTTGGGGTGGTAAGGTTGGGTTTTGTCCACCCAGCCTTGCAGCAGTTGTTGGCTACAGCTGTAGCGTACCAGGTCCCATTTAGATCACGTCCACTGTGGAAGATACCTGCATCAGTGAGGATTAAAACTTGCTAATGGCCGTTGTCACACAGACAGCAGAGGGAGCTCACTTATTGCTTGTGTGTGCACTGTAGCAAGAAGCTGACATTTGCAAATAAATCCATAAAAAATTATCCAGTGTCAAGGCCTGGGCCTTCTTCATCAGACTCAAGCATGAGTCTGATTTATGGGAGATCATGTTTTAGGAATACATGACCTCCATGAAAAGGAGAGGGGGAAAAGTGGATTTCAGTATGCAAAAATGTGTCATTTGGCAGGTGTTGTTTAGCTTCCAATGGCTCCTTTTTGAAGTTGATAAATTTCAGGGAAAGCTGGAAGACAGGCATATTAAGCAGCGAAACTTGTGAGCAGGGCTGTTTGTTGACAAGTCCCAGCGTATTCATTCACTTGCCTTCAGCCAGAAACCCTCCGAGCTGCAGCCCAAGTGATGAGAAAGGCAGGGATGTGAGTCAGCCAGCCTTGCTGCTCCCAGCAGGATTTCCCTGCTGGCTCCAGGCGAGCAGGTCACTTCTCAGCACCGGGACGGGATGCGACAGCGGGGATGCAGCTGGGAGGAACACCTGGGAAGGGCGGAGGGGAAGGTGAGCTGTGGTCTTCCTCCGCTGGTCAGCTTTACATTGAAGCGATGCTTTTACACAGCACTGACCCAATTAAATCAACACATCTAGGTCAGCTGAGAAAGTGGGATTTCTATGTCAGTGATTTATTACAAACTTTCAGACACTTCTGTTTAGCTTGGCAGGCTCCTCACTCGATGCTTTCCAGTGTTGGCAGATCGGCGGTGCTGTTGTCAGATTCTCTGGGGGAGGTGAACAACAGCATGCCTGAAGGAGCTGTGCTGGGGGCCACCACCGTGTCCTTCACAGAAGGTCCTCCACGTGGAGTCCTGCTTCCTACACGGCTCGGGGTGGACCCAAGGCACACCTTAGCCCTCCTCCTACTTCTGCTCGCCCATCTGTAAAATGAGGCTAAGGATTTCCCTGTCTCACTGAGAGCTGAGATAAGGATTTATCCATGTTTATATCATAAACCTCTTTTCAGCATATTAAATGGCAATTAGCTGCAAAAAGCTTTTACAACATTTATTTATGGAAGATGTAGGGGGGAAAAAAAGGGCCATGGAATAGAGCTGGATTCTGATGGGAATTGGCATCCATTTTCAGTTCCTGGTTTGCTTCCAGCACTGTCTTCAGGGGAGAATGTAGGAAATTCTTGAAAAACACAGGCAGCCCCAACAAAGGGTGAAAAATGGCAGAGCCCACCCTTACCTAAGGAGCAGAAAATGCTTCTGCAGAAAGATCTGGTGCTCTGCGGTTCTTGTTTCGGGTCAGCATGAACAGGGTCGGAGACATAGCAGTCCTGTGCCCCACACACAGACTCAAGCGGGCATACAACTGGCAATAAAGTGGACTTTGGAGGAGCCCATCTGAGCCCTGAACATCAACAGGGACAAAATATTTGGGAAACCCCAGAGGCAGGGGTTTAAGTTGGGCTTTGTGATTGTGTCTTTGACCTTGTAGATAAACTGGGAAGGAGGAGGAGGGGCTGACCTGGGTTAAGTTTAGTGGGTCTTGCAGAAACTGATGCTTTGGGCACTGATTCAGATGGTCCTAGGGAGTACTGCATATCTCATGAGATACTGTGGCAGCAGACCCTGAGTGCCCAAGCAGAGAGCTAGCAGCTTGGACCTATTATTAGCAAAAAAGAAAAAAAAAGAAGAAAGAGTCTTGACTCGCTGTGGCGTTGTTTATGGTCAGAGCATTCCCAGGCCACAGCGGCAGAGCTGCAGCCTGGGTGGTTTCCCTTTATGGACTTGTTCAAAGAGAAAATACTTTGTGGGCAGGCGGTGAACAGTGCATGCAGGGACTGGGGCTGCGGCTGCCCTTTGGAAGACGGCTGGGTCAGCCGGTGCTTGAGCCTCAGTTTTCTTTCACCCCTTCCCTGCTTTATTTCTAACGGCTCCTGCCCATGTTGGGCACAGTTCCCAAGTGGCAGGGCGCGTGGCTGGGCAGAGCAGCCGCCTCTCAGATGTGTCCCTCCTGCTGCCCCTCCACTGGGACACCAGGGTCCTGGTGCTGGACACGGGCTTTGCTGTGGATGAAAGGTGACAAGAAAAGACCTGAATACTACCAGTAGGGTTGTAAGTGGTAGGAGACAACAATGCACACCACAAAAATGATTGCTGCCTGTCAGTTTTAGAGGGTCCCTGTTCACACCACAACTGAATCATTTCCAAGTACCCTGATAAGCATCCTGGAGCGTCCACAGCTCCGCCGAAACAGTACCGTACCCAGGTTGTTCCCAATCGTCCAGGTCTCGTCATAGTCAAAATGGACGTCTCCCTCACGGTGTGTCTTGGGGAAGAACGCGTGCGCCAGGATCCCTCCGGGCCCATCAAAAGGCAAGTTATCTCCATGCCAGTACCTGGAGGGAAGACACGTTGCACCTCAGACAAACAGCCATGTACCTCCAGTGAACAGCTTCATACAGCCAAAGGTGGGGAGCCACTGCGAGGGGACAGCAGCTCTCACTCCCATCCCAAGCTCGTCCCACCAGTCTGGATCAACTGTTTTGAGCCCTTCAGGTTGCCACAAACTTGCTTCTGCATCAGGGCACTGAGGAAGCAAAAGCTCGGTCATACCAAGCCCTGGGGAGTTTTTGTGTTTTCTCAGGGATGCTTCTCTCCTCCCCCCGTTCAGCTTCCAGCCCAAAGCTGACCATGGAGCCTGAAGAATTAAGGAGGTGACTGCTCGAGCCAAGATTAAGTTGACATAGCTGGGCAGCGAGGGGATGCAGAGGGGCAGCCGGCAGCAAACTCAGCCAAACCCTCAGGTCCTCACTCAAGCCAACCCTGCTGTTGACTAGTGAAGGAAGCCCATGAAAGATGTGGCCACTTCAGAGAGCTGAGGAAGGCAGAGACAAACACACAGCACGCACATCGCATCACTGCTTGGACGGTCTCCACTGCCTTTATTAGTTTTGTGCAAACACACAGCAGAGGGAAGTCTTTGCCCCCGTGCATATTTTGCCAAAAGTGAATTTCAGGCCGGGAGCCAAGATTCATTTAACCAAGAAACTATATTTGTCTTTGGCCAGACAATTACGTCGTTCAGTCAAGGGACAGGATAGAAGGCCTGAAGATAGAAAGTCAAAACAAACACTTAGGAAAACAGCCTGTGGGCAGAGAAATGTAAATGTACCAGGAAAATTAATGAATGATCAGTAACGGTACTGCGCACAGCCAGCATAGAACAGCTGCACTTACACCAAGCAGCCCACAACCGACAAAAAACCAGAAAAACAAAACCAAAAAAATCCCGGTGTCTGAAAGAAGAAACATGAGCCTCCACTGAAGTGCCTAAGCTGTGTGCTGGCAGCTCTCTGCTCTGGTCAGAGGCTTGGGGTCTTGCCTGGAAGGCTGCTGCTCTGTCTGGGAGGAGGCTGCTGCTGCCCACCGTGCTCACCTTGTGAAATCGATGACGATGTCAGCCCGGCCCTCCTGCACCTCGGTGAAGGTCAGTGGGGTCACGTCGCTCCAGACTTGCAAAGCTTCCTCGATGGTCCTTCGCACTTTAGCTTTTACAAGTTGCCACGGGAACCTGATAATTCTGAAAAGCAACAGACACTGGATGAGGAGAGCATCAGCCACTGTCCCATGGACACTGCTGTCACGAAGATACTAGCTGTAGGATCAATGTCACTAGGGCTCTCTCAGCACTGGAACATCTCCAATCCATACAAGCACTGCTTCGGCACCCTCTTCCAAGCCACATGTGCAGCAGATAAATCCCATCAGTGTTGAAACCCTCTGGCTGGTGGGCCCAGAGCTGAACGCTCTGGAGAGCTTTGCACATCTGTGTTTTTCTGGAGTGACGTGACGCAGCGGTTCCCAGGTCTGTCCCCCATAAGTCCAGCCCCACAGAGGTGCCTGGGAGCGGTGTGATGTGGTTTCCCCTCCTCAAATCTCTGCATTTTTTGGCCCTGGAAACCTGGGCTTGCCCAGAGCAGCTGCTGCCTCTTCTGCCCTCCTATAACATAAGCAGACTGAGGTCTGCCACAGAGGGAGCTTGCTTTCCCTTCCATTAACAGCGTCGGTGTGTGTGCGTCTCTGCTGTGTTTCTTTCTTTAACACTGTTGACCAAAGAAAAAAAAGGAAGAAGCCTTTCTGTTATCTATCACCTCCTAACACTATGAGGAACTGTCTCCTGCACTTACTTAAACAAAAGATGATTTACGTGCTGTCAAAGTCCGCACGAGCGTGCTCACCTCTCCGCTCATGCCCCTGTGGGCAGCTGGGGAGGCGTCACAACCCTCCCGCAAGCCTGTTGGGCAGAGTCGCAGTGGAGAACGTGTCGGGTGACTTGGGTAGAACTTTACACTGAAGCCGTGTTTATGGGAACATCAATAACAGCTGAATAAAAAGGTCTTTTTAAAATAAACTGTGAAGTGAGCCCAGAGCAGGGTGGCTGGGGGGAGCAAAGGCACAGCAGGAGAGGGCGGGCATGTGTCGGGGGTTTGGCGCGGGGGGGGCGAACAGACGCACGGGGGGGTGTTGAGGCAGGGCTGACCGAGGGGTGACACAGCGGCTGTGCGGAAGGCGTTTGGGCAGGGGCGGCTGGGCAGCTGTGTTTCTGGCAGCCTGTGCGTGAGGGGATGTGGAGGTTCTGGGTACGACCCTGCCCCCAGGAGGCTATACCCGGTTTTAGGGCTGCCCTCCAGCTTTTATGCTCTCGTCGCAGCATGCTGCGCTCGAGGAAACAGCAGACTGAGAGGTTTGGGGAGGGAGAAGCAAACCAGCCTGACTCCCATTTCGGGCCTCTCTTACTTATAGGTGAGATCAGTCTTGTCCCAGCGTCCGCCAGAGAGGACAAACCGCTTCTGCCGGTTCCGCCCGTTCTGGCCGTCCGGGGATGCCGGGAGGTCCGGCACGCCGCACCGGGGTGGGTTCCAGCGTGCCGCCTGCTCATCCGCGCCCACGGGGAAGCCCTTGGTGGGCACGCCGGTCCCCGCAGCGTTCACCAAGGAAGACAGCCAAGGACTCTGCTCCTTCCAGGTGTGATGCTTTCGAGGCATGTCCTGAAAGGGAAAAGCAAAGCCATGACGTCAGTGTCTGGGAAGAGAGGTCGCACGCCGCACCGGGGTGGGTTCCAGCGTGCCGCCTGCTCATCCGCGCCCACGGGGAAGCCCTTGGTGGGCACGCCGGTCCCCGCAGCGTTCACCAAGGAAGACAGCCAAGGACTCTGCTCCTTCCAGGTGTGATGCTTTCGAGGCATGTCCTGAAAGGGAAAAGCAAAGCCATGACGTCAGTGTCTGGGAAGAGAGGTCCCGACGCAGAGTGG